AGTAGTCTCAATTTTATATAATTATCTAAAGATAAAAAACAAAACATAGAAATGAAAAAGATTGACAAAAAAAATTAAAAGGACAAGAGTAGCTCTTCAAATACTCCGTAGTATTTACTATAGAGTTTTGGCCTTTTCAAAAAAAATTCCCTTTTTAAAAAAAAAATTAATTTAGTTGAGTTAATTTTTTAATTCTAAATTAATTTAAATTTTTTTAAAACTCAAAATAAAAAATTGTCCAAATAGTAAGGAGTACTAAACTAACTCGATTAATCTCTGCAACAACTTGAAACCATTTCTCTACTCTTTCGTCCCTTTTTTTTTTAAAAAAAAAATGAATTATTTCATTTTTACGTTTTATTTGTTAAAGTAGACGGGGGAAGGATTGTGCTCGGTTGGATTAGGCCTTCTATGTTCCAATAAAGTGGCCCAATGACAAGAGATCATTTTCTTGATGAACCAATAATATGGCCCAATGGGCTATTTTTACAGTTAGCCCAATATATGGTCTATAAATCTGCACCCTGCACCAGAACCGTCCGATTCAGGTCTCTTGTAAGTTCTATATCACAGCCGCCTGATGGGATGACCACTCAAGCCATTTCCCCTCGGCAAAAGTGCACTGGAAAGTACGAGATGCTACCCAAACAAACCCAGATCAAGGTATATCTAGCGCACGGTAGGATTGGGTTACGGTTTAACCGAGTCATTCCTTATTTTTTACAAAGAAAAAAAAAACACCCCTTCAGGATAATTTTTATTATTGGAGATATTATATACATAATTTTAACTACACAATTTTATTTAAAACTTGATTTGATATTAAATTAATACATTATTAAATTTTATATATAAAAAAAATTCAATTATTTATGCCGCATTGAGTTGTAAATAAATTTATATAGTTAAGATTTATGCGCCTAGCTTTTTCCTATTTCATGGAGCCTTGGAAACCTCTTAATATTAAGGACCTGTTTAGTATATCGCAGTTAATGGTTTTACTTAAATTGCTAAATATAAGTATTTTGTAAATTTATATATTTCGAAATTGTTACAAATAAAATATTTAGTAAAATTTTTATTTAGCTGTTTGAGACTAACGGATTGAAAAAGCTAGTTTTATATCTTTTTGTACCAAATCGCTAGCGGATTAAAATTTTTTAATTTTATTGATAAATTTATCTATTTTAATTTTTTAATTTGTGGTTACATTTTTTAATTAATAATTATCTAATAAATTTCTTTTTTTTTTACCTTTAATTAATAACATTAAGTGATTATAATATTTTTTGTACATTAATTTATAATTAAAAAATATATAAAAACAAAATTTGTTAATTAGACAAAATGATTAATTTTTTATTTAAAAATAAT